TGGAGGAAACGATTGGGCCAGGGAGTTTGGGCCATCGGGTCTCGTGGAAGGAAAACCTCGGTGGAAGGACCACGCGAGGAATTGGCGGTCGATGAAGGCAGATTCTGCTGATGAATCGTTAACACTGAGAGAACGAGAAATGTGGCCCTTATTGAAAGTGTCTCTGGCAGATATATTTGTCAAGATGTCTGCCCTCTGCTCCATTAGCCAGTGGACGAACAGGGAGAAAAGAATAAAACAAACTTCATTTTTGTTTCCGCTTGCAGCTGTAATTAAATATTGATAAAGTCATCTAATTAAGCCTGGGTCAACGCCGCGGCTTGTGTGCTTACCATAATTACAGGAGTCACAATCACGGGGAAGCAGGTCAGGGCTGTTCGTCGTCATTGTCTCGTTGGAATTTGCAGCGATGCATTTGAAAAAAGACGACCAAAATTTGAGTGCCAATCCACTTCCCGTATTTTTCTAGGATTTTTTTCATGTCACAAAAAAACCGCAAGGTCTTTATTTTACTATGTACAACAAAAAATTATATTTATCTCTAGAATTGTAAATGTTGTGCTGAACTAGTAACGAATTGGCATGTTTTGTTAATGTGACAAACCTTACTAATTGGCTGTGTTGGGTGGTGGCGGGTTTAATGACAAATTTATATTTGCGCGATCTAACTCAAAAAAACCCTCATGGTTTATCTCTGATCTTTAACAGGTCATGAGTGTTGCAGAAGATATCTCGGTGAAAAAGAAAAAAGCATTCTCCACAGAATGCACGAATTGAAAAGGTGACCTCAGTAATTGTGAATAACTGTGATGTGCATTGTTACCACGTAAGTAATAAAATGATTGTGCAGGGTTATATCGTGTCATCATCATCATCATCATAATCGATGACGAGCCATTCAGACGAGACAGAAGGCAGCAGCCCGGGCGGTGAGCTGCCGCCACCGACAATTGCCCCCCTCCCCAAGCTCTGCAGTTCTATATATATTAATATATTTTCAGCCAATTAATGAGTGTTTATTCAACACTGTACCTTCGCACAAACACAAGAGGAAGGTCCCCCTCCCCTCCGGTTTAGTTTCACATGACCGCAAGGGCAAGTGCGGTTAGCGAGCACCTAATGAAGGCTGGCGCAGTCCCCAAGGAGGTGCTGTGGGCAGGACCATGCCTGACCACATTTGTATCCCAAATGCTAATGAAGTAGATCGATATATTGTACCATGTGATTCTTTCCCGTAGCCTCCTGCACCCTTAGCCTGGCACATCAGTCAAACCGTCACCTCCTGCCAGCTGTGTGCCTTTTGGCACTCCGCTCGACAGCCTCAAAGTGCAACCCAGCCTGGCGCGGGCGCTGTGGCGATGTCACCATCATTTCATGCGAACGGTGGCTGCTGCTGCTGTTGTTCGTGATGTCGTTCGGCCTTTAAGGGAGCTTCCAGAGATGTTCTTTTTTAAACAAAGCAAATGCGGTGCACTTTGGTTATGCTAATGACATGGTGTGTTTGTTTATTTGTTTGTTCATGATATCTATAAATACATAGTCATATTAATAAATTAATTTTTTAGTATCTAGTTTCACATATAAAACAAAAATCAGGCTTCAGCTGACCTTCACAAACCTTGACGTAGGAATCCTACCCATGTTGAAGTGGCGTTCATATTATCAAACTTAGTGGGGGTTTTTTGTTGCTGTTGTTCGTAGCCAATTGAAAGAGACGCGAATTTGTTTGTTGGCGATGTGCCGTGGGAGCTGAGCCAGCGGTGGCTCGAGTCGCTTCGTGGGTGAAATTTAGTCGCTTGTCGATGTCGAAATTGGCTGCGAAAGCTCTTCAGCCGCCGGCGAGGCGGAGGAGCCTCGTCGGTCAGAATTTGGTCGACAACGGTAAACAGCTTTGTGAGAGTGACGATCTTGTCGGGTGACGGAAGGCTTCGTGACAAAAAAAAATTGGCTTAAAACAACTACGACTACTTGGGCCTAACCCAAAAACACTAAATCTATATCGGGCGCGCTAAGAGATATCGAACGCAATATAAATGTCCAGCCGCAAATGCGGCGCTGACTCGGCAACCGCCGCTGCCACGTAGTTTGTGGACCGCAGACGTCGTAGCTCAAGGGCCTCGAAAACGAGACGCGAAATCTGCGTCTCCGCCGCGACGCCCGGGTGACGTTCCAGGCCGTCGACGGTGACGGAGTCTTGATTTCAAAATTCATTGACCTTTCCGTTTAAGGGATAATAATTTTTTTGGGAAATCCTGACCGTAAAGAACACCCGCTTGTGGCGAGCGCGTTTCTGGGCAGATGGGGGAAGGGCGCCCCGTTTTCGTTGGCAATCCGTGCCGGGCTCTGCCGCTCACGGCCACGCACGCGAAGAGAATGCAATTTTCACGCTCCAAAATAAAACCTGGAAGCTGTCGCCGTGGCGATTGCCCCGTTACCCGAGGTCATCGGCACGCTCGGGAGACGAGGGGGCCTGTCGCCTGCCAATTAAAAGGGGTGGAGACCGAGCTAAGTTAATTAGAATCTAAAACAAAATTGCCCACGGACAAAGAAAGAGACACCGTTAGCTTGTAATTGCCTGGTGCGGGGCGGCGGGGGGGCAGCGGAGTGTGGTGCAGCGCCCGGGGCTGGAAAGAAACTGTTGGGCGCGGTTCCGCCATAGGTGAGCAGCTCACTCGCTGTTCATAACGAGCGCCGCTAACGAGCGGATGGGCCACCGGGGGCTTCGTGCGGAAAAACCCACAGCGCGGTTTTTCGGGTTCGTCGTTCTCCCGTCAAGCGCAACCTTCACACTGCACCCATTCGTTCCACGGCCAGGGTGGATCGCCGCGTTGCCGGACCGCGAGCGACTGCTTTTGTGCAGTGGCGCACCGATTGTGTGGCCCTCTTTTTAATAATTGGTTCAGTTCATTCCATTACCGTTATTTCGCCGGTGTGATCTTGTTCACTATTTGAATCGATCGGTGAGCACACGTCATTACGTCTCTTGGCACACACACACCCCCCCTTGACTTGTGTTCCACACTCTTTGTCCACCTTTGCTCGATGTGACGAAAACAGAAGATGGCAAGGGGGATTGGGGGGGGGGTGACGGTTTGTCAGCGTCTGTTCCCACGCGGGCGACGTGAGCTTTGCTGCATCGCCGCTTCGCCGAGCCCTTTTTTGTGTGAGATGCTCGCGATGTGATTTGGAGTTGTGCTCTGCAGTGTTATTCGACGAATGATTTTAAACATTTATCTCAAGCCCTCAACTGCTCGGTAAATTGCACCGAGCTCAAAGCTTGCGAGGTGGCAGTGGGGATAGGTGGCGGGGGGAGCTGGTGGTGCCAGAAATGTGGTGTGTATTATTGATGACCTCGTGGTTTTGATGTGTTTTCAGTGTTCGAATGTCCGGCCCGCCTTGCATTTCTTGCTTTTGAAGAGTGATATATTTAATTTTACATTTTTACACTCTGCCCTTGAAAGGAAAATATATATATCTCATTTAAAAAAAATTCATCCTGCCCTGGTGCATTAATCCTGCCCCGGTGCATTAATTTTTAACGATGTAAAATTAAGCCCTTTGTGTTTTGCCACCTTCACAAATTTCAAAATTACCCATAAATTATCATCGATAGCGACGGCCTCTTTCCAGCTCCCACAATTCCCAGGTTTCTTTGCGTGAGAGAGGGAGGTATGGTGCCTCGGGGGGGAGGGGGGTGATGGAGGGGGATTGGGGGGCTTTCAGCTGGTTATAAATAAACCGACTCCATATCCCAAACCGAGCATTTCGGAGGTGACGCCGATTAAGCCGTCCCCGAGAGAGGAAGCAAGACAGACCGGCTCTGCGAGCGGCGGATTCGGAGCTCGGCAATTGAGCCATCTCCTAAAGAACAAAATCGACGTCATCTGACGGGAGGAGGCGGCGGAGAGGGGAGGTGGGGCTGGCGTTGTTGTCACCCAGATTTTGATTCGCTGAGTGTGGGGCGATCCACTGCGTCGCGGGTCGATGTCGATGAGAAAATGGTGGGCGACGTTCGTCTCCACCCGGTGAATAACGCCACCGAGAGGCTGACCCTTAAGCTCTTGACGGGTTTGCTTGAATCCCTTGATAGGCCGGTGGGAGAGTTGAAAAAGAGGTCACGAGGTCAAAGTACACAAACGACGAACGCGGGGCTGGTGCTCGTCTCTTTTTGGCAGGCCCGAGGACACCGTTTGGAAATTCCACATTACTGTGCCAGAGTTTATCCCCAATGTAGCCACTGTCGACTTGCCACAAAGTGGTTCACATCTTATTGGTTCCAGAGCGTAGATTATAATCTTGCTGGAACCAACAAGCCCTCGACCATAATAGTCCGGCCCGCAACCATGCCACTGTGAATTGAGATTCCTTAAATGCCGCCACATGGACAGAACACAGTTTTAATCAACGCTAGCACCAATCAATTCCTGCGATTAATTGGTGTAATTTATCGGCTCGTAATGTTTCACCCCCCCACCTTCCCCCCCACCCCCCAAAGCGACTTGGTTAATAATCACGATTTAGGGAGGGTCGTGATTTGTTTTGAGAAGTGATTGTTATCGTCTTAGTTCTACCGTCCCGATTGTATTTGTCCTTGTTCAATCTCTCCCCCTCTCACGTGCACACTTGTGTGCGTTCCGTTTGACCCCAATTTATCACGGTTGGCTACGTAAGGTGTAAACGAAGTTCGACACACATACACATATATATGCAGGGGAACATTCGGATAACGTGGCGTGCATCAACCTTGGCGCACATTGTTAACCGCACCGCCACGGTAATATTCTACGCACGCGTCGCGAGCAACAATTTACTTTAATCGATCCACTCGTACACATTCAGTGTACCTAACACCAAACAATTAAGACTCATCGGGAAGAGCGGTGGCCCAGTGGTTTAATCGTCGCGCTTTTAAACATTTACCCGGCGCAAAATGCCAAGTGCACTCCTCTGCAATTCAATTGTTTGTCCGCCCCATCGCTCAGTGTTTTCTTTTCGAACAGACGGGGGCGACGAGCCGATCCCCACGGCATCCTCCTCCACGTCCCCGGCCACGTCTGCCACGGAGGACGACGAGGCCTCGGTGCTCACGGTGACCTCGGTGACCTCCAGCCAGACGGTGCAGCCCAGCTCCGGCACGCAGCGGATGCAGCCGGGGCTGCCGGCCATCGCCAGCGGCTCGGCGCTCTCTGACCTCGTGCACCGCTCCCTGCTCAAGAAGGACTTCCTGGGCCGCGAGCCGTTCTTCAGCCAGCAGAACGCCGGCCGTCTCGTCGCGTCGCTCGAGAGCGCCAAGCGGGAGGGCGGCCGCTTCACGAACCCCCGCGACCCCGAGAGCGCCGACAAACCCGCCGGCGAACAGCACGGCCGCGATGACGACGACAATGACAACAACAACCGACGCGACGACGGTCACGGCAGCGACGACGGCAATGACAAGGAGGCCCTGGCGGCCGCCATGGCGACCACGGTGCTGACCACCACGGTCACCACGCCGACGCAGCAGACCAAGCTCCAGATTTCCAACTCCGGGCAGACGGCGGCAGCGCCGGCGGTGGCAACGGCGGTGGCGGTGGCATCGGCGGCGGCAGGCACGACGTATGGAACCACCACTGAAGTTCTCACCACGGCTCGCAGCGCCGGCGCGGCGGGGCCCGTCGCTCGGCACGGTGGCGGCGGCGTCATCCCGGCTCACACGACGGCCAAGCGGCAGGACGCCACCTGGGCCACGCGCGCCCCGGCCCAGCCGACCCTGCCCACTGAGCCGCCGGGCGACTACGCAGCTACGCACGCGCGCACCCGGCTCGTCACTGCCGCGGACCCCACGGGGACGACGCGCGATGCCGTCGGCAAGGCCCTGGCCGACGAGGAGCGACGCGGCCCGGAGGAGCCGGAGCGCGGCGACGACGTCACTCCGCCGGGCGATGGGGCGACTAGGAGTGGCAGCCTTGCCGCTCTGAGCGCAGCCGCCACCACCGGCGCCGCCGCCATTGCTACAAACGAGGGCGGTGATGGCAAAGCTGCTCCCACGGCAGCGGTTGGCGTAGAGGAGCGTCCGACCGAAACGAGTCCCGTGGCTGAGGCGGTGCTGCCGGAGATGGACAAGGACGAGTCGCTGGGGGTCGCGACCGAGGCGGTCGGACGGCCGGAGGTCACCGCGACCGTCGCTGCTGCTACTGCCGCCGCCGCCGCTGCGGAGGAAGAGGAGGAGGACGACGCTCTGTCGAGCGACGTTCACCCGGACAGCGACGCGGCCACGTCCGCCGTGACCGATGCCGACGAGGAGACGACCACCACCACCATCATCACCACGACCATCATCACCACCGTGCAGACGCCAGGTAAACGCGGTGCCGCGATTTTCGGGACTGGAGGGGGGGGGGATTGGTGAAGGCGGTGATGGTGAAGGCAGCCGCACGTGGGCCCACCCGCCTGCCCAGCCTCGGCACTGTGGATGATCATGACAGTGGCGGTAGCAATTTACCGTTTTGAAGATGTTGAACCTGGCATCGGTGAATGTGACTTATCGAAAATAATTGTTACGATGCTCGCGATAGCGGTGACGATCATTGTGATCTCCGTGGATGATAATCTTTCACCGCATGCTGATACATTTTTGGAGACGATCATTTTGGATGATCATGAATGGTCTAAGATGGTAAAGATGATGGTGATGATGGTGATGACAATGATTTATCAGAGATCTCTTCAAAGATTACACAATACCTCCGAGACAGCGCGATTGTGTCAATGCATGATGATTCGCGTAGTCGCGGCCTGGTTCGTGCTGCCTCTAACTTCCTCTCTTTTTTCACCTCCTATAAAGACGGGCCGTTGCCTGAAACGTCACCCATTCTATATTTTTACCTCCTTAAGACCACCGTAAGTCGATCGGGGCAGGTCGTGTGTGGTGGGGCAAAGTGTGGGTACGTCCAAAAAATACCCGATTGCAATCTCGTCGTGGAAGCGCCTTTCTGCTTTCCACCAGCAGTGGCATGACCAAGCAGTTGCACGGCTGCACCTTTACATGTTTGAGCAAAGCGGTAAAACGACGCCTTCCCGAAATCCTCATGGCTTGTGAATCGGCGCTAACTCGTCAATCCCCATCCCCCCACTCCTTTGTCGTCCGCTCCGCCAACCCACCCCCCTGGGCCTCCACCACCAGTGCCGTGCAACATGAACTACACAGGCCCCGACGGCTACATCGACTCGCCCGATTCGCCGGGGTTTCCCTACTTCAGCAGCCTGGACTGCACCTACACCGTGACGGTGTACACCGGCTACGGCGTCGAGCTGCAGGTGAGGAGGGCCTCGCAGCCGTGGGCCGCACTTCCCCTTGCAACTAAAAAAATCTAAAAATCTATACAGAGTGGGGATCAAGCGTTTCCACGGCCGTTTTAAATATCTGGCCCAAGTCGCGCCAGTCCGTTTCAAGCCTGGCTCGATTCTTGTAGCGAAACGTCCAGAGCGGTGCGGCTGTAATAGACCCCCCTCCCCCCCCCGAAGGATCTAGAGGCTTGACTTGATGCACCAGCGGCAGCAGCAGCAGGATTCGAACGTGCAACTTTCCGATCGCGAGTTCTGCGGGCGATTGTAAATACCACGTTTGTGCGTCAACTCTACAAATACGTCGACTACTACTACACACTGTCCGCTTCGTAGTGAACTTTGTTCGCAGGGATAGGCCATTGTCGTCCACGTCGCGGTCCAAATTTGAAAAATGCACCCGTGCAATTACGCAATTTGGAGGAGGAGGAGGAGGAATGTTGAAAAGCCCAAGCAAAATGTTGACAACTGTACAAGACGTTCGCTGGAGTATACACCCGGCATCATCAGGTGTTCAACAAGAACTCAGGCTTATCTTAAAATGTTGAGCATTTTACATACACTAAGATCTAACCCGAATTATGAATCAATCATATTGTGAAGCGTAATTTTTAGTCACGAATGCCTACAGATGAAGTTACCATCAACACACACCCGCACCAACACCCGCACCAACACCCGCACCAACACCCGCACCAACACCCGCACCAACACCCGCACCAACACCCGCACCAACACCCGCACCAGCACCCACACCAGCACTCTCACCAACACCCGCAACGTCGTAAAATAAGAACGAAATGTTTGCCGATGCTCTGCGGGACGGCACACTTCACGGGCTGACTGCGGCTATGGGGAGCGCTCTCTACGCAAGCGTCGGCACCGGACAACACTTTTGAGCGCGCGCAACGGCGGCAGCTGTTGTTGTTTTTTCTCCTTCACCGTCCGTCCCTGCTGCAGCAGCCATAAATTTTAGAGCAAACGGGAGAACGCGCGGACGCGCGCGGCCCGCGTAATGAGATGCCGGGTGGCGGCGTTGCGCAGTGCGTCACTCTCGGAGCGCATCTCTGCCGGCATTTGCCGCTCACTCGCTCGCTGTTGATCCTTCCTGCTTCGCCTGCTCGCGGGGGTTTCTTTATTGCCACTGGTACGGTCCCGATACCTCCTTTAAATCCTCTCTGCATACAGCGCAAATACAAATACAAGGGGGGGGGGCTAGAGGGGGGAGGGAGGGAGGCACGGGGAGCCCTGGGGAAAATTCCCGGGGTCCAAAAGGCAGATGAATCAGATTTAGCACGGTTGGCTACGTAGGATGCGAAAGAAGTTGAACGATACGAATTTGCTGTGTCAGACGAGGGATTTGGAGAGTGCAGGGAGTGTGCGGGGAAAGATGCAAGCAGCGAAAGATGGAGGGAGTGCGAGGAGCGAGAGACAAGGATTGGGGTTTAAGGGTCCAGAGAGAGAGAGATGTGCAGGGAGAGAGATAAGATGGTTATAGTTGAGTGCAGAGAGAGATACGAGAACAAGGGAGTGAGAGGATAAGCAGTGGCGGAGTTCAGCTAGAGACGCATATGCTGGAAGAGAGATGATGACGATGAGATGAATATCGTTGAGTGTTGGGACATAATAGAGCAGGGAGAGCGATTAATGCTTGCAGTACAGGGAGTGAGAGATAAGCAAAGGGAGATGTTAATTAAGCAAGAGAGAGATTAATGCGGGGCGATGGCGGTGGATGATACGTGATTCGTAGTCGCTGGATTTTCTTCGAGCACTCAGTCGAGCGCTTCACCCAGACGGAAACATTCCCCGTCGCGTCAAGATTAAGGCACGGAGCCCTCTCCCCCAACGGCTTTCATTTTCGACGTCGGCTGCGAAGACAAAAGTCCGCGTCGCTCCCCCCCCCTCCCACATCACCGCGAGGGCGCAGAATAAAATCTGGTGAACCGTTACCACCGAGTGCGCACACACACACAGAGTGGAGGGGCAAGTGCTGTTAGCGAGCACCTATGCAGGCCAGAATGGCAAACGAGAGGGTGGGTGGTCAGCAGCACGCCTAGCCACCTTTGTATCACCAGTGGCGGTACTCGCACACGCACGCACGGAATTCCGTCGAGAAAACGCACGCACGCATCGCCGGTAACGGTTGCTCGGCATGGCTCAGCCGGTCGGCGTTTTTCCGCCCGCCGCTGCCGGGTCTCAGGAGGCATGTGCGGCCGCTTCGCTCCACAAGCCGCCTGCTTCTCGTCGTGTCACGCAATGGCCACGTGCCACGCTTCGTTTCCCTGGCCAATGACATCCCCGTCATGTCCGCGAGTCCTCTTTACCGACGCCAAACTTCCTTTGGCCGACCCGGTTTTCTTTTCTTTTTCCCAATCGAGCGATTTGCCCTGAGACACGGCGGCCACGATCTCGAGTCCGGCTCCACGCGCCGCGCCGGTCTACGTTGTGTTTTCTTTCGATCAACGCCACGATTTTTACCGCGCGACGACCCCGGTGTTTTTAGGCTCTGCCGCTCTTTGTGGCTGGGGGGGGGGCGGTGAAGTTCCTCCTCCACTCGCCGATTTCACTCCGGTCGCTCGCTCCGCTGTCATTATTCAGTCGCGTCTTTGACAACTCTGCCATGGCTACGAGAATAGTTATCGTTCCCGTGAACTTCACGCGTTGATGCCTCTGCCGGCGTTGAGGGCTCTTCCCACCGGATTCACCGGCGTTCAACTCTCATGTCGCACAATGAACATTCCTCCGCCTCCGTCTTTCCTCGCGCCGCTCGACTTTGCCACTTGCTCCCTCCCGGCGACTCGTTGCTCCGAGTTCCTGTAACCCTGCGCCGGTTCAACAGACGCGTCGCGCTTCGCACCGCTGCCTCGCCGTTCATGGCTTTCAGGCCATCGCGACCGTGTTATATTTAAATAAATAAATCGTGATTCAAAGGCACTGTTTGTTGCGAGGATGAACCCATACGCTGGAATGGACTTGTGCCGTCGTCATAGATTTAAACATTTTTATATATATAATCATTGACTTTGCAGTTTGCAGTGACCGGCTTGGACCGGCTGGGTGCTCGAATTCCGTCATCATCAGGCCTCTGGTCAATCCACTGTGGGAATGGAGGCCACCCCGAGCCGTCGCCATCTCTCACGATTCCGTAGCGAGTCGCCAAGCAGCTGCCAACGAGCCGAGTTCATGGCTCCATTTCTCCGCGTTGCGCATGCAACGCGGAGAAATGCAACTAGCGGCAAGCCCCGCCACCGCCACATGACCGAGCTGTGGCTGCGGGGGCGGGGCGAGGGGGATGCGAGGGGAAATTGTGTAAAGCAGCGGGAGGTGGGAAATTACCATCGAAATTTCCATCGCGAGGGGGGTGGGAAGATTTTGGGGGGGGAAATGCGACAACCTCAGCGCCGTCGTGAAATTGGAGTTGCTTAACCACTCAACCTTCCGACCCCCCCCCCCCCCCCAAGGGCAAAAACAATGCCAAGCGGGGGTCAGGGTGTTGATTAAGTTATTTTTACATAAACAACAGTTCAGCAAATCATTGTCAACGTCATTTTGGCATCGTTCAGCAATAATGTTGGTTTTGGTTGCGGCCTCAATGTCGGCTTTTTCCTCGGGTGGAATCTCTCATCCAGGAATCCCTGCCGCTGCTCAATGTCTGTGGGAGATGGCCAATAAATGGCACCACAGGTTTGAGGCAAAATAATCTAAAATATATGAACCAAATATCGTAGATTCTAACATCGTAAATTATTCACATAGACTCAGCAAGCACCTTACCCACACAAACGCACGAATTTACGACGTGAACCACAAATGCCTCGCGTCACCCCGCGTTGACGCGAGGCGTCGCTGATACCAGAAACACAACAGCAAATGTCGCGTGGCTTTGCGCGAAGGCATCACTGTGGAAAATGCCCAAAAAACACACAATCACCGACTGCGGGGAAAATAAAAAAAAGAACCCATTTGTGCCAGCACAGCTGCGACGTCCGCCAGCCGCGATGACACGGCTAATTTGCCTCGATGGCTCAGTTTGGCGGAAAGACGTCGTTTGGGGGGTTGGGGGGGGGTGGGAGCTGTCGGTTTCCATGGAAATCTCTGCCGGGGCCGGCGATTCCCTAGAAAAATGTCACTCTCCCTTCCCAAGTGCGCGGCAAAATGAGGAGCGGAGTTTCTGGCACCGGCCACCACCAGTGACTGCTCCTCACATCTTCGTGCGGAGACCATGAGTGCAAGCCTGGCGTGCATGCGAGCTTGGCGCGTGTGCCTGGCACGAGCCTGGCGCGTGTGCCTGGCACGAGCCTGGCGCGTGTGCCTGGCACGAGCCTGGCGCGTGCGTGGCACGTGTGCGAGCCTGGCTGCGTGTGCGCGCTGTGCGGCAGCTGCTTTCGTTCGGCGGTGCCCAGATGGTGGCGAGGAAATCTGGCGAGGGGTCGCAATCTCATTCCGCGCAGCCCTTCAGCAGCCCCGACGGGGGGGCACGCACACAGCCCCGCTGCGCGGTTTTGGTCAGTGATTAAATTTTCTTTTTTTAAAGTTAATTTGTTGCCGCAGAAGGACCTCTGACCTCACGAACACCTGCCCCCAGCGGATTTGTATTTTGTCGTTTTTTAACAACCTCACGAAGCGTTGGTGGATCGCTCCGCTCCACGGGGCCTTTCTGCGTGCATCAGCCGCCACTCGTTCCTGGCTACTTTTTTTATTTTTCAGATTTTGCTTCGTCCTCTTGAGTTTTATGGACCTTTGCCACAATCCACGGCTGGACGAAGGGCCGCCTCCTATCACGCCGTGTCGGTCATAGTGGGTCGTTTGATGGTACTTCACCATGCTGGCCAGCACTGAATAATCCATAATCAAACGCCGCTCCTGGATAACGTTAGTCTCGTCCACAGAGCCAATTGTGCGATTGGATAAAAACTATTTAAATTTTACGTGGCTGAAAAAAAATATCATTATTATCTTTAATGCTCCACAGTACGGGATGTGTGGCTTCAGAAGGGTGGGGTGGGACTCTCAGCCAGCCTCTCCGACACTGCGGGGTCGGTTCAAACGTAACAACACGTGACCAAGTGCATTCTGGTTCAACCGAATTAGTGCCCCCACCACCCCACATCGCCGAAGTTTTTTCATCCTCCTCCCACTCCTCTTGCTCATCCCTCTTTTTCATCCTCCTCCTTGCGTTCCTCGTCTCTCCTTCTTCCTCCTTGCTCCACTTACTCATCTTCTGCGAGGACCGTTCCTGACCCTGGCTCGTCTTGCCACTCATCGTCTCTGGAGGGAGGGTTTCGCAAAGCGGTGCGCGCGCCAGAAGAAAAATAAAACCCACGGACGATCGCGTTCACCGACGCCGCCTCCGAGCAGCGCATCCCCCGCCGGAGATCGCCACCGAGCGCCCAAAGAGCAGCGACCGTCAAGGGCCGACGGGGGAAATCGAAATGGCGATGTTGGACCCTCGATCGAGAGACTCACAAGCGCGTCCTGCCCTGCTCCACGGCAGGCGCCTTGCCCCCCCAAACCCCCCCCCCTCCCCACGACCCCCCCCCCTCTCCCTGCCCACTGTTCACTAAATACATTCTTCTCCACAAGAACGTTTGTTCAAAGATAGCTTCCCTTCTTCCTGGTTCTTTCGGTAAAGTCACGTTAAAGGGAAATAACCTGAGGACGGCTGCTGGCGTTGTGGCCGAAACGTCGTGAGAATTATTTTATTATTTTTATTTTCCTTATTTTATCATTTCCCTTCTACGTGACTTTACCGAAAAAAACAACAAGATGAATCCCTGCAGTCACGAAAGTTTTAAATCGAAATTTCATTGTTTCCCTTGTTTGGGCTCGCGGTCGAAACGTCTGAATGGCGCTTGTCACGAGCGCGGACGATGGGTGCTGTGGACGTCGCGGCGGACATTCGGGGAATGCTGCGCCAAGCGATCCATGGGGCTGTGGTGGATGGTGGAGGGGGGGGGGAGGTTAACGTTAAAGGGGGGGCTGGGGCGGGGGACGTGGGCAGAGACCTTCGTGTAAGAGATGTCACAAAGCCGCCGAAGTCGGTGCCACGGATGTTGAGGAGCGGCTGCGGCTGTTCTCACGGGAGGGTGAATCCGTGGCGGGGAGCGGTGGTGACAAATTGGTGGCAAGGTCGCAGACACACACACACACAACGGTTGTCAGCAGTGTTGTGTTCAAGTTTAAACTTTATTCTGTTTAATGAGGTGAGAACTCCAAGAGACCTGCCGCATAGTCTCATTTGCAATTGACCTGGGTCACCAAAAATGCCAAAAGCAATAATGTAAAAAGCAAAAGCGGCAATGAAGTCTGTGGAAATCAGAAGAAATTAAAAAGCGATGCACGCACACACACACGCACGAACAAGATAACATCAGATGGAGACCATGTCGACGTGGAAACGACGGCGCGTGTGCAGCTGCGAGAGGATCGGTGGAAGCGCGAAAGTGAATCGCGATCACTTAAATTCTGCTGCCGGCTAGGTGAGAGGGCCTCACCGCAGGGTTTAGCTCAAACGGCTTGATGACGGTGATCGCAAAGATGATGACGACGACAATGACGATAACGATGATGACGACGACGATAACGATGACGTTGGTGACCCACAGCCTGCTCCGCGCCTTGCCTCGCAAGCCGCGTGCAAATTGGCCCAAGCGTTTGCAGGAAATGAGACGAGTCTTGTGCTCCCGTCTCTGACCCTGTCACGCTCGTGTGGAACTGTGGGCGCCCGACTAAAGGCTCGTGTCGCACACGCGGTAAACGGCACGTGGTTGACAGCACCAGCACGTGGGTGACAGCACGCAGGGGCCCGCATGAATGGGAAACGGCGGCGTATTGGTGAGCGCACCGCACTACGAACCCCGTTGGTTCGAGCTTGAGTCCCGGTCACGACCAATCGCAATGGTGAATGCCTGAACCTGTCCTGGGGCCTCCCCTATACGAGTATCAGCACTGGGGAGACAAAGGCAGCCGTGTATGGGGTTGACAATTCTCACCCCCTCGTGAGTTCCTTCGGAGGGTAACGTGGGCTGGTGGAGCAGCAGCGGCCGCAGCAGCAGCGGCATAAGCCACGTGACGCATCGCGCACTCGCCTCGCATTTTGATCTCCGTTGGCAATTAGGTGACCTTTTCACAATGTGCTGCCCTGCCCACCTATCATATGCTGCCCTGCCCACCTATCATCTGCTGGACAGAAGACGGCATTACAGCCTCTCTCCCTCTTCGCTGGGATACGTTGAACCTTTGCTGTTGTCCGGCTGTCGGTGCGAGACCGGCTGCACGGGGGGTCACACAAGGGACACCGTGCGGAAAAGAGAGGAGGCTCCCTTGCCTGTAAGATCGCCAGTTCACCAACATCGATTGAAGCAAGACTGGCGGTCTGCTTATGAGATGCCGCGTGATGAAAACCGGTCCACAGTTTGTGCTCGTCTCGAAACTGTGATGCTGAATTGATGCACTTCCAGAAGGCCGTGCGGCTGATGGCTCGTTTTAGAAATGCTTTTTTCTTTTACTTGGACATTTTTTGTTCGCTCGTCTATTTTGACTTGGCAGGGAGGGCTGCCGTGGCAGGGTGGCACGGAGACGACGCTTATCGTCATTGTTATCGTGTGCTTGCTTTATGTTTGACAACAAAAATATCTCCCCAACGAAATGTACATTTGAAATAATAAGCTCAGTCATTTGTGTCGTAATTAAATGCCGATTGCCCGTTATGATAAGAAATGTAACAGTACTGCAGTCATAATTTCCCATCGTCCATTTAATAGTTCTGTTACTTATTGTGCAATGAACGGCGTCTTTGTCACGAGCATTAGGGATTGTAAAGCTGCGAGGATTTGAAGGGGTTTTAGCAGGTTTATTTCGAGCGAGCGCGAGTAAGAAACTCAACACGATCGTCCTACCATACACCCTGCCTGGTTCTGCCTGTGTCTGTCTAGGTCAAGACCCTGAACCTGGTGGAGGGTGAAGTGTTGTCCATCTACAGCATCCTCGACGGCCGCCCCCTCGTGCTGGCCAATCAGACGCTGCTCGTCGAGGGCCAGGTGATCCGGAGTCCGACCAATCAGGTGTCGGTTCATTTCCAGAGTTTCCAGATCGGAGTCCCGGGCTCGTTCCGATTCCACTACCAAGGTGAGTTGCGGCTGCAGGAGGATCCTGTCATTCGATGTTTGCTCATTCCATCATTTGATGCCAATGTTATGTTTTTTTTCATCTGAATATATCATATGCAACGATTACAAACAAAGATAAGATGGCGAATACTGAAGTCAGGTCGCCTTTGGTCATTTGGTAGCCACAGAAATAATGGACGACTTTGCGTAATTTGATGAGTTCTATTTCTCTCCATTCTTAGGCCTCAGCTCTAATCGCGATTATCGATTACTGATGCGATTTGTCCTCCTCTGCGTTCCCCACGCTGCTTTTTCCTCCGTTTTGCTTGAGTCGTCTAAAGAACCCGCGGTCTGCACCCCGCGTCTGCTTTGACGAAGACACGTTTTGGTGTCGTCGGGGTTGGTGGGGGCCTTATGACGCCAAAGAGACTTTCGCGAATGGTTTGGGGCTGTCCATAAATGACGTCACGCACCTAGGGGGGGGGGGTCAGACATTTGTGACGATGTGTGACGATGGCGGGGGGGGGGAAGAAACGTGACTTCACATCAAAATGCGCAACTTTTAATAAATATAGACAACACGTTCTACTTAATTAAATATACTTTTGAATAAATGTTTTCTTCTACAACAGAGTGCAGCGCCACATTAAATACGCACTACAATGACAACAGTTTAAAGCGATTTGAAGCATGTTTTTTTTTTGGGGGGGGGGGGGGCAGAGCTTTGTGGCGTCATATTTGAGGGGGGGTCTGACTTTTTGTGACGCCGTGTGACGATGGGGGGGGGGGGCAAAATTCGTACAAAATCGCGTGACGTCATTTATGGACGCTCCTGCGATTTTTATTTTTTAAATCACCATTGCCGTTACTGGGGCCGTAAGGGACACAGCGTGGAACCAGTGAAAGAAGAATTGGGAGAGCTGTAATGTTATTCTGCGGGTATAATGCGGTGTTTACACACGCGAGATGGTGGAACGCTGGATCCCTTCTCCCCCCCGCCCGCCCCACTTATCTTGCGGAGATGTGCTAGGCGGCGCCTTCGTCCGCGGCGCTCTACAACAATTATACAACTGTGCACAAGGTGACAGTGGTTGAGACGAGGACTGTGGGGGTTATTAAAAGTGGTTGCTGTAGTTACGCCAAAAACATTATTGGCCGGCAGCGCTTGCTTCAAGTGAATCCACTCTAGTGTAAACGCACTGCGCGTCGGATAGTGAATAATCGTAACAACAGTAATCCTGTAATCACGACCTATGGCCAAATCACCCGGAAGGCACCCGATCTTGTCACATTTCTAAAGCGAAGCAGGTGTTGAGCCTGGAGACTTTGTGGATGGGAGACCACTACCATGCCAATAGGAGGCTGTCACAGGTTTCTGCTACTGCTGTCGGGCGACAGAAGGCAGTGCGGCAAGATCCATCATTGTACTGCACTCTCTATGCTCCCACGTCTATGCTCTCCACATTCACCACCCGGCACTGAACCGTTGCGGTGACATCCGGTCACATATGTACACCGCAGAGCGAGAGGCACGCAAACTCCACGATATACAGGCGTTAGGGGTAGTTAACGTCTCACCACCACAACCAACACGGCGTAGGCAGATCTTAATCCAGAAGTGGATTGACTACATTTCTGCAAAATTAGATACATTGCAAGCTTAACTGCAGCCAAAAAAAATCGTAAAGAAAGAAAGAGCAATTTATAAAATCTGAATGGACCTCCTGTAACCGCATAAGATACCGAATTGGTAATGTGTGGGTAATGAGATCTAATTCAATCACAGGAAGGATTTTGCCCAAAACCGTACAGCATTTATTCCATGTGCAAGCGCTATTTAAAAAAAAAAATCAAGTAATTTTCAACCATCGCCCCCCCCCCCCCCCTCCGGCCTGCGCGCTGTGCGTGTGGGGAGGGCTGAACCGTGCCACTGTCGGCGCGATCCCAATCCTCCGCCTCGGTGCTCCTCCGGACCCAGCGGCGCTCCGCCTCAAAAGCCCTTCCCAAATTTGCAACGACAAAAAAATCACGAATGGCCCCGGCGGCCCCACGATGGCGTCTTTATCAGAGGGTCGCATTTATCCATCGCGCCAGCTACCTCGGCGGCGGCACAGAGCCCAGCCGGATCTCCTAGAGGTCGCCCCACAACACCACGGATCCGTGGATAGATATGCTACAACCGGGCATTATGAACCCGTCCGCCTTCCACCCCACCCCCTCCTACAGATTCACGTCTTTTTTGTTCCATTACGAACGCGGCTCCCTGTGACCAACGCCTGCGGCCAGACTGGTGCTGGTTGCCGGCTCCTGTGGGCTCTGCTTTGCATGGGGTGGGGGGGGGCGGCTGCTGATGTGATTATAGATAATACACGAAGCCTCCCAGATAATACACGAACCCTCCCAGATAATACACGAAGCCTCCCAGATAATACACGAAGCCTCCCAGATAATACACGAAGCCTCCCAGATAATACACGAAGCCTCCCAGATAATACACGAAGCGTCTTAGATAATATCTTGATTTGAAGCTTTCGTGACTGCAGGAATTCATACTCTTTGGTTTATTCGGTAAAGTCACGTAGGTATGAAATAAAATAAATCACGACGTTTCAGGCGCAACACAAGCGTCCGTCATCAGGTGGGAAAGCCTTGCTTTTAATACCTATGTGACTTCACCGAAAGAACCAAAGTGTATGTCTTAGAAAATACACGAAGCATCCTAGATAATACACCAAGCATCCTAGATAATACACGAAGCATCCTAGATAATACACTAAGCATCCTAGAAAATACACGAAGCATCCTAGATAATACACCAAGCATCCTAGATAATACACCAAGCATCCTAGATAATACATCAAGCATCCTAGATAATACACGAAGCATCCTAGATAATACACTAGGCATCCTAGATAATACACGAAGAATCCTAGATAATACACCAAGCATCCTAGATAATACACCAAGCATCCTAGATAATACACCAAGCATCCTAGATAATACACGAAGCATCCTAGATAATACACGAAGCATCCGAGATAATACACGAAGCATCCTAGATAATACACCAAGCATCCTAGATAGTACACCAAGCATCCTAGATAATACACCAAGCATCCTAGATAATACACCAAGCATCCTAGATAATACACCAAGCATCCTAGATAATACACCAAGCATCCTAGATAGTACACCAAGCATCCTAGATAATACACCAAGCATCCTAGATAATACACCAAGCATCCTAGATAATACACCAAGCATCCTAGATAATACACTAAGCATCCTAGATAATACACCAAGCATCCTAGATAATACACCAAGCATCCTAGATAATACACCAAGCATCCTAGATAATACACCAAGCATCCTAGATAATACACCAAGCATCCTAGATAATACACTAAGCATCCTAGATAATACACCAAGCATCCTAGATAATACACCAAGCATCCTAGATAATACACCAAGCATCCTAGATAATACACGAAGCATCCTAGATAATACACGAAGCATCCTAGATAATACACGAATCATCCTAGATAATACACCAAGCATCCTAGATAGTACACCAAGCATCCTAGATAATACACCAAGCATCCTAGATAATACACGAAGCATCTTAGATAATACATCAAGCATCCTAGATAATACACGAAGCATCCTAGATAATACACCAAGCATCCTAGATAGTACACCAAGCATCCTAGATAATACACCAAGCATCCTAGATAATACACGAAGCATCCTAGATAATACACGAAGCATCCTAGATAGTACACCAAGCATCCTAGATAATACACGAAGCATCCTAGATAATACACCAAGCATCCTAGATAATACACCAAGCATCCTAGATAATACACCAAGCATCCTAGATAATACACGAAGCATCCTAGATAATACACCAAGCATCCAGATAGTACACCAAGCATCCTAGATAATACACCAAGCATCCTAGATAATACACCAAGCATCCTAGATAATACACCAAGCATCCTAGATAATACACGAAGCATCCTAGATAATACACGAAGCATCCTAGATAATACACGAAGCATCCTAGATAATACACCAAGCATCCTAGATAGTACACCAAGCATCCTAGATAATACACCAAGCATCCTAGATAATACACCAAGCATCCTAGATAATACACCAAGCATCCTAGATAATACACGAAGCATCCTAGATAATACACGAAGCATCCTAGATAATACACCAAGCATCCTAGATAATACACGAAGCATCCTAGATAATACACCAAGCATCCTAGATAATACACGAAGCATCCTAGATAATACACGAAGCATCCTAGATAATACACGAAGCATCCTAGATAATACACCAAGCATCCGAGATAATACACGAAGCATTCCAAATAGTACACCAAGCATCCTAGATAATACACCAAGCATCCTAGATAATACACCAAGCATCCTAGATAATACACCAAGCATCCTAGATAATACACGAAGCATCCTAGATAATACACGAAGCATCCTAGATAATACACCAAGCATCCTAGATAGTACACCAAGCATCCTAGATAGTACACCAAGCATCCTAGATAATACACCAAGCATCCTAGATAATACACCAAGCATCCTAGATAATACACGAAGCATCCTAGATAATACACGAAGCATCCTAGATAATACACCAAGCATCCTAGATAATACACGAAGCATCCTAGATAATACACCAAGCATCCTAGATAATACACCAAGCATCCTAGCTTAATTGACAGGGGAAGACCCCCTTGGCTAATTGACAAGACCCCTCCTTGGCTAATTGGCAGAACCCCTTCTTGGCTAATTGGCAGGACCCCTGCTTGGCTAATTGACAGAACCCCTCCTTGGCTAATTGACAGGAGCTCCAACTGGCTTGTTGACCATTTAGTCACCGAAGTTAATTAATGCCAGGGCTTGATTCGCACGGTGGCCTTGAGCCCTGGAGTGTTTGATTGCCCTGTCGTAGGAACATTTGACCACAGTCACCGGCATTTGAACATTTTCC